TGTAAACTTAGAGATTGCAAGAGTCCTCTTCCATCCAGACAGTCTAATTTAGAATCAAGATACTTGCTTCCCAGGGTGTACAGCTTTCCTGTCCAGTCAGCACCGAGGTAGAGATGCTAATGTGGGCTGATGGGAGGGAAAGAATGGATTTCTTCCAAGTGTGAGATGTAAGAAAAAGCAAATAATGAATGCTGAGCAGGAGAACCTCATTTAGTCATTTAGTTCTGCGTGGGTAAGCAACATCTGTGAGAAAGTCGCCTTCCTTCTCAACTTACAGACATTTATTGCCAGACCAGAAGGTGGTATAAACACATCATGATAAAGTGGCAGGATAAACTATGACTGCAGGCTGTCGTAAAACTGAATGATATCGTAGAAGTCACTGATCTAACTCCAGTGCTGAAGCACAAGGCACATTCCCTCTCCCACATCCTGTCCCACCTGCTGCAGTGATGGGAACTCCTGATTCTTAATACAGTCTATTCTACATTTGGATGATTGCTTGTTGATGGTGTTTCTTTCCAGTCATCAATAATAATTTCATTGTCACCATTTGGTCCAAGTTCCATTTGTAGCCACATACAGCAAATATGAACCAGGAGCTTAGCCCTGGGCACACAGTGGAATGTTCTGGCATGTCTTGAAGAATCAGATGCTCAGGATGCAGGAATTAGTAAGAGTTGGGGATTATATGCCAGACTTCTGAAAACTCTTCCTATCAGCCACAGTTGTGGATTGCTAAATTGAACTCACTTTTTATGGTTACAGAATCCTCACCTGAATTGAATGTTCTCTGAGTCCATAGCTGTGGCTTTCAACTAGCCCTTTAGAACAGAAAGTACAAAGTTATTTGAGATTCTTTTTATTAGCCTAGGGGGAGAGAATGTGTAGAAAGTGTTCAAGAAAACTCAGAGACTCAAAGACAGTAGTGGGGTCACTTGGTTTCTTCCATGTTTAAAGAAGTTTATTTGCCAATAAATAAATTTAATACCATCAAAATTATATTTAAAAACTTTTGTTATTCAAAAGCTATCGGGAAGAAAATAATAAAAGATGACCACAGAAGGGGAGAATTATTTGAAAACTGTATTTCTGATAGAAGTTTAGTGTACAGAAGATGTCAAGAACAATTGGAGCTCAATAACAGAAACACAAATAACAGAATTGAAGATGGGCAAGCAGGTCTGGGGATATGCTCAGTAGGTAGAGTGATAGTCTAGTATGCATGAAGCTCTGGATTCATTCTCCAGCACTGGACATGGTGTTACACCTGTAATCCTAGCACTTGTAAGGTAGAGACAGGAGGATCAGAAGTTCAAGGTTATCTTCAACTACATAGGAAGTTTGAGGCCAACTTGGGTTATATGATACCCTGTCTCAAAAAACCAAATAAACAAAATGAAATCAAAATGGGCAAGAGATTTAAACAGATATTTTCCAAACACACAAACACACACACACACACACACACACACACACACACACACACAATTTATCCAACTTTTCTTCTACAATTTCTTTAAAACACATATTAATACTTTATTATTGTGACCATTTTTAGTTTTGTAAAATTTGCTAAGATTTTTGCTTTGATTATAGATTGCTCATAATGATAAAAATACCTTTACACAAGGCTAAATGTTACTATTATGAGCTGGTCCATTTAACTGTGATGGGAACCTTGGGTTCCTGAGTCCTACTCGTCTCCTGACTCAGTCCTTCTATCTTTGGAGCCTAAGGCCCAGGTCAGAGGCAGGCAAACAGGGCATCGAGAAAAAAAATACCCTGGATTTTCCAAATAATGACTATTTTACTATAGAGTGTAAATTCAAGAGCTGCTTGTGAGATTCTTTTAAAAACTGCTTAAGAACAAAGTTGGATTTTTAAGAAAACACTTAGAATAAATTTAAATTTTAATTTAAAATTTGAATGTAGTATGTTTCATGGCTTACATTAAATACTATTATTCATAAGTCAATCAAAAACAATGAAAGGATGTGTTTATCCAAGAACTCAGCCACATGGTTCCAATGGCGGTACAATGATAGTGAAGAGACAGAAAGGAACATTTTGGTATGTCCTTGTATGGTGGCTGTGATAGTAATAAGTGTATGCAGAGAAGTATTTATTTGTGGGGTGTGTGTGTGGGGGGGTGTAGGTGCCTGAGTGCCATGGCATCGATGTGGAGGTCAGAGGACAACCTGAAGGAGTCATTTCTCTTCTTCCACCATTTGTGACCTGGGGATTGAGTTCAGATCATCAGACTTAGCAGCAGTTCCCTAACCCACACAGCCCTCTTGCCAGCCCTCAACTTATTTTAAAGGTTTTGGTTTATTTGTTGTCATTTGGTCTTCTTGTAGCCCCAGCAGCCTGAGACTTATGTATAGATCTGGTTGGCCTCAATCTCAAGAGCTCTGTCTGCTTCTGCCTCCTGAGGGCTGGGATTAAAGATGTATAGCACCACACCTGGTCTTAAAGGTTAAAAAATCTGTTTTTAAATTGGACTGAAGAGATGGCTCAGTGGTCAGGAGCACTTACTGTTCTTGCAGAGGATCTGGGTTTGGTTTCCAGAATGCACATTAATGGCTAACACCCATTTTTAATGCCAGTTCCAGAGGATCCAATTCCTTCTTCTGGTCTGAGGGTGCTAGGTTCACTCGTGGTGTACTTACATACAAGCAGGCAAAGCACTCATACATATAACATAAAAATAAATAAAATCTTTTTAAATTTTTAAAATGTGTGTGCCTGTATCTGTGTGGGTCTGTCATGTGTATGTGCTCTGGGAGGCCAGAAGAGGGCACTGGATTCCCTGGAGCTGGAATTACATGTGGTTGTTATCTGCCTGATATGGGAAGAGAGGTGAGCACTCTTAACTGCTGAGCCATCATTCCAGCCCCTTCAATTTATTTTAAATAAAATTCTTAAGCTATTTTTAAAAAAGCATACAATTTATTTAAATTATAGCAACAATAACAAACACTGAGATATTCATTTGAGCTACAAGTGGGTTTTCCAAACTACATCAACCAAAACAAAACAAAACAAAAAAAACCCCAGCTTGAATAAACGGTGGTTATCAAATCAGTGGTTCTCAATATTAATGATGTCTGGAGACATTTCTGATTGTCACTAATGGGTAGATGCTACTGACATCTAGTGCACTGTGGTCCTACCATGCAGAAGACTATGGCCAAGTGGTCCCCAAGGCTCTGGAAAATAATTGGAATTTTGAGGGGGAAACTGGCCTGCTCAGCACTGTGTTAGGGACATCCTGGGAGGAACATGCTTTGACCCATATGAGGACTTGGGTGATCATGGGACACAGAAATTGCACTATGTACACAAAATAAGTTACAACAATAAACACTGTCCAGAATTTCTTTAGTTGTTGTCAATTTGCCTCTACATTTGGCAAAAAAAGAAAAAACTCCATATAAAATAGAAGCTCATAGGGAACTGGGAAAATGTTGGTCTCAGATTATAAACTTTCAGTTATTAGGTAAGTTCTGGATGACTAACGTCCAGCAAGATGACTGTAGCCAATATATATACACCAAAAGTTCATGTTCTACACTTTAAATAAATCCAATTTGAATTTGTCAATTACATTAGAAGAAAATTGGGGAAAAATTGGAACTTAAATGCTGTTTGCCTTTCTACCCTATAGTACTTTCCCAATCCGTGTGGTCTTCCAGATTTCTTTCTGGTCCCCTAACTACTAGGCTCATTTGTGCTCTTTTCTGGGCTTTAGCGTCCTTCTAGAATCATTGATTAATCATTTCAGATGCTTTGCCTCTTGTCATGTCAAGTACCTGAGCTTCTCAGCTCATCATTTCTCCAAGACCCCCCAAGCCCAGCTTTACCTGGTTGAAAGAGCTACATTCTACACTGGGCTGTACTGGTACTTACCCTGTAGGACTAATGAAGGAGTAGAAAGTGGGTCTCTTCTCACATACAATTCTAGTTGATTATTAATGGATGCAGCATGTGATGGAATAGCAATGGACCTTGGAGTGTCATGATCAATAGACACCCCTGCCTCTGTGACTGTGTGTAGAGTTTTTGTAGTGGTTTGAATGAGAAATGACCCCTTATAGGCTCCTGTATTTAAATACTTGGCCCCAGTTGGTGGTGCTGTTTAGGAAGGTTATGGAACCCTGTGGAGCCCTGTATTGGGTGAAGTTCCAGACTTGGGGCAGGCTTTGAAGTTTTATAGCCTGGCTCCACTTTTGTTCTCTTTCTGTCTCTGTGTGTAAATGAACTGTGATCACTCACTTCCTGACTGCCAGGTGGGCCTCAGGCTCCTGCTGCCATGCCTTCTCCACCATCAATGGCCTGTATCCCCTCTGGAACTGCAAGCCAAAATAAACCTTTTTTCCCTAATTTGATTTTTGTCAGGGTATTTTATGACAACAATGGAAAGATAACCAATACAATCTTGCATTCCAAGAGATAGCCATCTTTGAGGGGTAGATTTTTCTTTTCTTTACAACTGATACATTGACCACAAATGCTTGGCAGCATGTCTTTGCATTCCTCTGCTAAACCCCAACGTTCCTTAAAGAAATACAATAGCATTTCCCATTCAGCTTTGCTATAAAACATCTGCAAATCAGAAATTGTAGGGATTGTGCCTTTTCTCCAAAGAGAACATAATCTACCAATGACTTTGGCAGAATGTATTTGTGAGTGTAGCTTGGGAATTATGCAAATCTTTCTAGCTTCTAGTTAACTGTCCCTTGTTATTAAAAAGCTCACTTGCCTGACTGTTGCCTACTTTTTTATATTCAGTTACCTCTAGTTACTGGTCTCTTAGGACAAAGTATTGTTTTTATTTTGAGTTGAAATGTAAATAAATATCCAAATCATGGGATCTATACCCTGAACACAATTCTCATTCACTGCACAAAATCAAGGTACCCTCACCACCCCAACATTCCCACCAGTGCTTATTATTTCCTATACTGTCATCACAAAAGAACATGGACTCAACTTACCTTGTAGTGAAAGAGAAACAGTCCACAAAACAGGCTGTACAGATCTGCTGTGAGCAGAGAAAGGTTGACCGAGGTGGCACTGGTTTTCTTTATGACAACTGGCATAAAGCTGTAGAGACCAAACATGCAGGCACTGAAGCCAACATAGAGAAGTCCTAGAAGGGAACAAATAGAGGGCAATGTCAGGGGCTCCTCAGGTACTCCTCAGCATCCACATTAAGAGAATGAAGGGAAAGAGGGTGTACCATCTCTGACTCACTGAAGTCAATTTTCCTTTTACCGCATTAACTGGTGTTTAATATTAGCTGAGAATTGACAAAACAAAAAACGTAAAGTTATACTTCATGCACGGGAAGCAAACTTTCTGCTTCTCCCTATGTAGCTGACATTTTGATGCTTCTGGGAAGGAGAAACTCTTGGTGGCCATATTCAGAGGCTTCTGAAGTCTATCCCCAACTGTGTATAATTACTTTTGCTGTCTATGTCCTTTCTAAAAGATGTGTGTGTGTGTGTGTGTGTGTGTGTGTGTGTGTGTATGTAGAGACCAGAAGAAGGTGTCAGATCTCCTGGAGCTGGAGTTGTAGGTGGTTGTGACCCACCCAATATGGGTGCTAAGAACAGAACTCAGATTCTCTGCAAAAGCAGGAAGCACTGTGTGCTGGAAGCTTTAGTTGTCAACTTGACACACCTGGGAAGGGGGGACCTCAACTGGGGAATGGCTTCCATTGGATTGGCCTGTGGCCATGTCTGTGGGGCATTTTCTTGACTGTTGAGATATGGAAGGTTCAGACCCCTGTGGGCAGTGCCACCCTGGGCACGTGGTCTTGTGTTGTATAACAAAATAGGCTGAGCACCAGCCAGGGGAGCAAGCCAATAAGCAGCATTCCTCCATGGTCTGGGTTCCAGGTTCCTGCTCTGAGTTCCTGCCTTGGCTTCCCTTGATAATGGACAGTGAGCTATAAGCCAAATAAACCCTTTCCTCTCTAAATTGTTTTTGGTTAGTGTTTTTATCACAGCAATAGAAATTATCTACAGCTAGAACATGCTCTTAACTGCTGCGTCATCTCTTATGCCCCATCCATGTATTTTGAAATACTTTTTAACCTTTAAGATTTCTTCTTGTAAAATAGGAATTAAATATATCACGTATTTGTTCTAAATGATGAACACCTACATAATGGTTGAAATTAAAGAGTTTATACTGCAGAGGTTGGGACTTGGACTATTGAGCTGGAATCCTGTGTCTTTGGCCAGACTACCTCATTGTTTGAGCACAGAAAAAAAATCTAACAATTTCTTCAAAATTACTGAATTGTGTTCCTCTACCCAAAGACACTGAGGTCTTTCCTTCTGTTGGCTTTGCTAATATACTGTGGCTTCTAGGCACACAACTGTCCATGAGTACAGTTTTGGGTGTGCTCAAGCAAGAGTTTACAGGTAATTCTTGTCATTTCCCAGATGCTTATGTGATACATATGCACAAAAATAATGCTCATTTCTTCATTCCAAACGATTAAGACATTCAGTGTCTCTTTGGGAATTATAATATAATAATTATAATATAATGGAATTCTTGATTAATTAAATGTGTCTGTTGTGGGCTGTGGGAAGATTGCTCCCTTTGATTCTATGAATTTTAGGAAATTTGGTCAGATTGGATATTTGGTCCCTATGACTATGAAAAATAGTGACTGCTCTAGAAACACATTTGTATTGCTCCTATGAAAGGTATTTAAGGCCACAAATATTATTCTATATGTTTCTGATCTTAAGTTTAAGAAAATCTACCTCAAATATATATATATACATATATATAAATTATATATATAAAAATATAAATATATATATATATAAATTATTTGAACATCAAGCAAACAGTCCAATAGCCCCCTCTAGTGTGGTGGACATGCCCTCCACACTGAGAGAGATGGCGCCAGTACTTCTGATTTTAGTAACCTAGAAAACCTCATTGTATGCATTCTGCTTTAGTACTGGTAGATGTTTTTGATTCTCCATCAAAGTTTAATCCCCTAAAAGTAGTCCATTTCCTTGCACTTGGGTTTCATGCTACTTTTAATTCATTTCTCTTTTAACCAACTCACAAAGTATAGCAAACACTAGATAACTTATGATTAATATACAAAAGACATGAGTTAAGAATTCCTTAAAGAAACCATCTTTATTTCTTCCTTTGAGAACTCTCTGTTTAGATCTTTAGCCCATCTTTTAATTGGGTCATTTGGTTTCTCAATTCTTTGTTTTTTTGAGTTTTTTACACATTCTGGATGTTAAACCTCTGTCAGATGACCTCAATTCCTGAGCAACTCCTGCCTGATTTAGAAAATCTTTTCTTACACCTATATCTTGTAAGTTGTTTCTAATATTTTCTTTTAATAGTTTCAGAGTTTCCAGTTTTTTATTTAATGAGGTCCCATTTGTTGATTGCTGAACTTAATTCCTGAGCAACTTCTGTCCAAGTTGAAAATCCTTTCCTAAACCT